GGCTGCCCCGGGGGATTGTACAGCTGAGATTCCGGGTTGACCTCTGGCTCCCTGCCCTGAAAATGGGGACAAAAAGTGGCTGTGGAAGGTCCCAATCCTCCTCTCCCTACCCCGCTTTGGCTCTCAATCTTTATCCCCACAACAAAGATAATGAGGAGGTAGAAGATTTTACCACATCCCTCCCTCTCTGAGCTGTGAATCCTCCTCTGGACCCCTGTCCGCTTGAGCAGCACACTCTTGACCACAGCTGGTCTCTGCTTCTCGCTCTCTTAGCACCGGAACCATTTTTCCAGGTTTGTTCAATTAGTCACTGACACCCAGCTGATCACGGGCACCTTGAGTGCAATCAGGTTCCTGGTTTGGTCAGGAAGAAAGGCTTGGGCCTTATGACAAGGAAGGTGGGCAGTGTCTGAAGGAACCTCAGGGTGCCAGAGTCCCAGGAGGCCCTGACCAAGGCCTTAGCAGGGAGGTGGCAGGCAGGCCTCAGAGCCCCCTGCCTCGGTCCCAGTCCCAGCTCTCCCTTTCCTTGGCTGAAAGACCATATGGGCAAGTCACTTAACTCCTACTGATGCCAGTTTCCTCATTAGCAAGGTGGGGTCTGGGAGGACCACTGCTTCAGCAAAGCCAAGCGGACAGGATGAGAGCAGGGAGCAGACCTCAGGAGGTGCTCATCCTCGGGCTGGGCCCGTGGGAGCTGAACACCTGACAGCAGCCAGTTCAGTCTGCAAGCAGGATGCCCTTGCAGGCATCCCATTGCCACAGCTGGTCACCAGCAATGTCACCTAACCAAGTGGCACTCCAGTCCCTGCCTGCCACCCTGACTGGGAGTTCCCGGGGTAGGAGAGGGTTTGGATCTCCTCTGGGCTGCAGAGTCTCCCAGTGCTCAGGGTTCTCACTATGAAACAGGAGAAATTCAGACTCGTGGCTCTACTATGGAGCAGATAATTTTGGGCAAATCACTTAACCTCTGTGGACCTCAATTTCTTCATCTGTACCTACCCCACTAGACTACTGTTGGGGATTAAATGAAATCATTACATAAAATACTGAGCTCAGTGCCTAGCACACAGTAAGCTTCCAAGAAAGAGTAGCTACCACTATTATCATTTCTACTATGTTTTAAAAGATTTTATTTATTTTTAGAGAGAGAAGAAGGAAGAGAGAAAGAGGGAGAGAAACATCAATGTGCAAGAGAAACATAGACTGGTTGTCTCTCACATGCCCCCAACTGGGGACCTGGCCCACAACCCAGGCGTGTGCCCTGATGGGAATCGAACCAGCAACCCTTCGATTTGCAGGCCAGTGCTCAATCCACTAAGCAACATCAGCCAGGGCTCATTGCTACTATTTAATAATTTGGTTATAAAATTGGTCACTTAACTCCACATCCCCTCCCAGCCACTCTGTCCCAATGATTTAGGACAGATGTCCTGAGTATAGAACAGACTTTTCCCTTCTGGACATATTCCAAAGGATCAGCTAGAGAGAAATTCCACAGGAAGGTCATGCAGAAGACCAACCAAGCACTGCCCCCTCCCCCAGCTGTCCCTCAGACCTACGGTCATCTGCCTCTTTGGGCTAGGACCGTCCACTCCAGAGCCCTGGTTGGACCATAGGGGACGCAGGCCTGACAGGGGTGAGGTTACATGGACAGGACGTCCTCTCTGACCAGGGCTGGGGACACGCAGGAGTCCGCAGCGAGCCCTGAGCTTTATCAGGAGTGCACTTACAGGGGATCTGAGGACCCCCATATCCTCTTGCTGTTCAGACTCTTGGAGCGGCCACCCTTAGTGCAAAACCCCTTCCTAAAACATCAAACACCCTCTGCGCAGGGCTGTGGAAGGGATGAGTCCAGCCTGACTGAGACCAGAGGACGGTGAGAGGGGCTGCCCAAGGGACTGGACTCTGCTTCTGAGGGAGGGCCAGGTCTGCCTGGCTGACGTCACACTCTGCTGCCTTGGCCACCACCCAGGGGAAAGCCCCTTCCTGAGTGAGACCCTGGACTGAGCTCAAGAGGTGAGGTCAGGCCAGGGAAGGGGAATTCAGGCCAAAGGGGTAAGCAAAAGCTTGGATCCTGATCCTTCCTCTACCACTTTACTATAACCTTGGGCAAGTGATTTTGCCTCTCTGTGCCTCAGTTTCTTTCTCTGTAGATTGACGCCCAACTTCTAAGGTTGTTTGGAAGATGAAACTGGTTAACATACATAAAAGTGCCGGCAGCCTGGCTGGTGTGGCTCAGTGGATTGAATGCCAAAAGGTCAAGGGTTCGATTCCCAGTCAGGGCACAGGCCTGGGTAGCAGGCCAGGTTTCCAGTTGTGAGTGTACGAGAGGCAACAAATAGATGATCTCTTTTGCACATCCATGTTTCTCTTCCTTTCTTTCTCCCTGCCTTCCTCTCTCTATAAAAGATAAATGAAAATTTTTTTTTTTTAAAGTGCCTGCAACAGTGCTGTGTGCATGTTTACTGACGCTGTCATTCTGGCTGATGTCATTACTCGGCTCTCTGAGTTTCTTCCCCTTTTACTGGAGGTTCCCAGAGACGGGCCAGACTAGGAGTCGGGGTCCATCCAGACCCCCACCGGGGCTGTCTGTGTGATCTTTGTCCAATTTCTGGCCTTGGCCTCAGTCCCCCCCGATCTGTGAAAAAAGCTAGGCCAAGCGGCCTCTGACTGTCCATGGCCATATCTGCTCCAGCCTCCCTCCCACCTCCATTTCCTCCTTCCTTCTCCATTCCCAACTCATGTGCTACTGCATCCCCTCCTGCTGCAACAGAACCCACGGAAGCCTAAAGTGGCCTGAAAGGGACAGCTGGTGGGCAAGGGGTACCAGACTTCAAGCAGCCTAGGGCCCATCCCAGGCCTCCAAGGGTTAAGATCCAGAGTGAAGGGGGGTGGGGGGGAAGAGGCAGGGTCAGGGCTAGAGCCCAGGGCCTGCCTCCCCTCCCCCTACCCTGGGAACAGAAGCTACTTGTTTGGGCATCAGCCGGCTGGCTTTGAGCTTGGCCAAAGGGAGAATGGGGTGGAGAGGGGAGAGCCCCTCCCCCCCACCCTGGGGAGACTGGAGGGGACTCCCTTCTTCCAGCTGATGCCCTAGGTTTAGTACTGGGCTAGTCCATCACTAGCCCCTAGGGCTCTCAGAGGCCCCTTACCCCTCTGAACTGTCCCCTTTCACTAAGTTCTGCCTTTTCTTCATTCAGACATTCACTGCTGGGGGCAGGATTTAGACTCAGGCCCAGCTCTTGCCCCAGACCTGGCTCATTTTTGGAACACAGTACCAAGGCTTATCACCCCATCCTGCAGATGGGGAAATGGGGGCTCTGAGGAACTGAGAAGTCCGGGGACGTGCAATCATATGGGGTGTGGTGGCAGCACAGAAACTGCCCCAGGTCCCAGATATTCCCATGGCTCTGCAGGAGCCTTCCCCATAGAGCTCCAAAGAGGCCCTTGCTAAGCTGAGCCACTACACAGGACTGAAAAGCTAGGCAGCAATGAGCAGCCCGCTTCTGAAGTCCCAAAGGATCTAGGGCATTTGGAGGAGAGAAAACTTTGCGGGTAGAGGCAGACGAGCAACCTGCACAAAGGGCTGAGGCTTGATGTGCAGAAAGGCTTGACTGGAACCTGACAGGTGATGGGGGCGAGGCTGGGGCCAAGAGGGGAATGCCCCAGTGAAGCTTGGGTACAACCTGGGCCGCTCGTGGCCTCTGCCAATTTTCACCTCCCCAATTGTCAGGACTCTGCCTGGGACGGCCCCCTCTTGCCCTCCAGTAAGCAAGTGGCAAATGCAGAGGCAGAGTCCCCAGGCCAGGGTCCGGACAATCCGAAACCGCCGAGGGACAGGGTGATGAGTTCTCTCTACACCTTGCCCCTGCTACCCCTTCATGCCATACCAATTTCCTTGCCATTCCTCAACTATGCCATGCAAGTTTCTGCCCTTGTTCAAGCTATGCCCTCCTCTGGACGGTCCTTATCCTTATGAATTGACACAACTGCCGAGGCCCATTCCAGTCATCTCCTCCCTGGGCCTCCAAGAGCTCCAGTCCCTGATTCTATCTCAGTGCCTATTTGTATCTGTCTTTGTGACTGGTATCCTTCTACCCTGCAATGAGCTTACTGGGAGGTCCCCCCTAGCCTGGACACTGTCTGCTCTCTTAGGACAGGCATCCTGGGTGCCCGTCTGGACCCCGGTACTCATGCAGTAAATGGAGCACCTCTACATATCTGCCTGATCCTGAAGCCCTCCCCACCCTCCAAACCTGGGGATCTGGGAAGGCTCCCAGGGCAGGAGCTTTGGGGGAGGGTGTGCATATGCCAGAAGCCATACTGCGCCGGCTTTTAACCAAAGTTCCCCAGCACCAAAAACATTTCTGGCGATCTGGGACTAAACACCCACCTCATGCCCCCCAGGCTGAACTCCAAGTCTGCTCTCTCCAGTCCCAAAAACCCACTCCAGCCTTGACCCCATTCCGTGTGAACGCAAACCTCCTTTTTCCAGCAACTGGGCCACATAGGGGCTCTTGGGAGGCCATGTCACCATTTACTAGTGGGGAATTGGGGCGCAGAGACGGGAAGTAGTCTTCCCAAGGTCACTTCCCAGGTCCTGAGCACAGGGTCGTTGCAATGTGCAGAGCTTTAGGGGTCTCCGCGGTCAACGAGGTGGGAGCCTTCATTTCACAAATGAGGAAAGCAAGGCGTCCGAAGAAGGGCTGGCTTCGGATCCCGAGAGCCTTCAGGCAAAGGGCTGAGGGCTGGAAGCCCCGGCCCGCCGGTTCGCCCTCCTTCCTACAGTCTCCAGCCGGACAGCGCACCTTGCAGAGGCGATCCCCATCCCCACCACTGAATAGCAGAACTGAAAACACAACCTGAAGGGAACACCCGCGGAAGTAGGTGCCGGGCACAGAATCGCCGCGGGGCCTCGGCGTTCCCTTCTGCGGAATGGGAAACTCCGGGCCACACTTGGGGAAGGAGCGCAACGTGGGGGAGGTCCCGGCAACCACACTGACCTGTTCTGAACGAAGACTCCACGCGGGGACCCGCCGTTCCGGAGCAAACACAGGCTCAGCTGCGGCGGCTAACTCGCTGTCTCAGGTCGGGCGCGCCCACCCCCCCGGGCGCTTCCGCCTGCCCACGTGACGCCCTAGGGAGGGGAGGGCGGGGCAGGGGCATGGACACGCCCCCTCTCTTACTGGGCTCAGCGGAGTCCCGACTTGCCTAGTACACGATGTGTCTCTGTTTCTCGCCTATTCCTTTCGCTGCTGCTCAGAGGTCCGTTTCTGTTTCCTGAGGCTCAGGTTCTATCCTCACCACCACTCCCCACTAAGACTCCATCTCTTCCTGAGTCTCCCTGCCTCTTACTACTTACTCCTCTTCTGGTGACTGTGCCTCAGAGGAATGAGCCACACCCCCCTCCCAGGAGCCCAGGCCCCCAGGGTGTGAAAGGACGACCCAGATAGGTCTCTAGGGAGTCCTTCCCCACCCCATTCTCTGAGGCTATCTCCCTGCTCTCCCTGGGCCACGCCCCCAGAAGGAGGGTCGTGGGGAAGAGTCCTGCCTAGTCAGAGCACCCCAAGATCTTAGTTGAAGTTTGCAGCCTGCGGTCCTGGCACCCAGGCACCTTCACTGGCTTAAAGAACTGGAGATTCTCTACCGTTCTGCAAGCACACACACAGATGAGGGCCCAGGGCAGGCATTCCTGGTTCCTGTGTCCAAGGCACCTTTGGGGCCAGCCAAGCCAGAAATCTTACTCTATTTCTCCAAATACCCTGTGCACACAACTGGAAGAACTGCTCTCACCAAGGTAGGGCATGGGGGTTTACTCTATGAGAATGAGAGTCATTAGTTTGAGCACCTACACCTACTACTTTATGCCAGGCCCAGGGCTGGACAATTCACTCCTTTTATCTCAAGCCTCATACTTATGCTTGAAGGCAAAAATCTTCATTGCAGGCTATAGATTAGAAACTGAGGCTCCAAAAATTTCCAAAACTTGCCCAAAATTACAAAACCAGTATTGGGCAAAACTGGGATTGTAACCTAAGTCTTGGTGAGTTCTAGAATCTCCTACCTACCCCTGGACCTTTACTCCTCCCCTCTAGGAAAGTCTACTACTGCGTCTTCCTGACAAGGCTAAGGCAAGTTGCTTCCCAGGAAGGGAAGACAGGGCCATACCTTAGGGAGGACTTCCTGGCCCCAAATTCATATCAGGTGCAAAAACACGGGGGAGGGCAGAACACAGGGCCCTTCTCCCAACCTGACAGCAGAGCAGAGGTATCCCTCAGGCAACAGAGGGCACCTGGGGGCCACAGAGAACAGAGGAGGCCCAGGTATCCTTCTAGACCTGAAAGCATCAAGGTAGAACACAGGAACAAGGGCCTGGCATCCAACCACTGGCAAGGGGCTAGGGACCCCATCCTTTTTGTTAACACAGGCTGGAAGTCTTTTTTCTTTTTTCATAATTGATTTTAGAGAGAGAGAGAGAGATGCGGAGAGAGGGGGAAAACCCCATCAATTTGGGAATAAGTTGTTCCACTTACTTATGCATTCACTGGTTGATTCTTTCATGTACCCTGACCAAGGATCGAACCCACAACCTTGGCATATCTGGATACCACTCTATCCAAATGAGCTACCAGTCTGGAGGTCTTCAAAATGACCTATGAAGGACTCAAACAGGGCCTGGTCCTTTCAATGCACTGAAGTCTGATGACTCTCACCTCAACTCCAACTTCCCTCCTCCAGAACATGCTGCCCCAACCTCAGCTCTGAGGCCCACAACCCTGTGGTATGAGACCCAGGGACCTCACCACCTCCTTTCTCTGATGACTGACCCCCTGTCCATAGGTTGAACCTTAGGAGGCTGAAAGTCACAAAGTAGAACCTCTCTCTCAACAGAGCTGAAGGTCACAGGAAGAGCCCTACCCTCTGACACCTGACCCAGGGCTTCTAGCCAGTTCTGCTCCTTCTCCTAGAGCAGTAAAAGGTAGTCAGACATCCTGGAGAGAATGGCAGAATGGACACACAGCGAGGACAGGTGGATAGAGTGAAATAATGGCCCAGACAGCGTGGCTCAGTTGGTTGGAGCATTGTCCTGTATACCAAAGGACCGTGGGTTCCACTTCTGGTCAGGGCACATGCGGGAAGAAACCAATCCATGTTTCTCTCACATTGATGTTTCTATTGCATCGATGTTTCCCTCGTGCATTCTCTCTCCCTCTTTCTCTCTCTGTAATCAATACATATGTTTAAATAAATTTAAAAATTATAAAAAAAGGAGTGAACTAATGAATAGACACAAAGGGAATGGGACACCCCAACCCCCCGGTTGCACATGGGGAGGTAAGGGGATGCCTAAGGGAGCAAAGGTCAGGCGGCCAATGATACAATTAACAAAACAAACCGTAGAACAAGGAGACCAAAGGCTGCAGTCGTGCCCTGGGCAGGTGAGGAATAGGTACTACAAGGAGCCAGTTGAGGCTGTGGGATTGTTTATTAGGGCTGTGTCCAGCCAGGCCGCAGCGCCAACCTGGGCCTGAGCCCAATGTCCTCAGGAGGCGCAGGGTGTATGGGAGGGGAGAAAGCGTGGGAAAACCTGCCACCCCAGGCTCTGCCCCGTCTTGTCTCAGTCCCTATTGTGGTTCTGTGCTCAGGTGAGCGAGGTGTCATCGTCGCTGCCCTCGCCGCCAGCACCACCCATACGCTCCTCCCGACTCTCTGCCACCGCACTCTCGTCAATGTTCTCCAATGAGTCCGCATGCTGCACCGACAGCTCCGATAGCGCCAGGCTTGGCAGTGGGCTCTGCTCCGGGTGCAGCCATGGCTTGAAGTGCGGCTGATGCTTCTGCTTCCATTCAGGGTACTTCACGCATGCCTTGTACATCTTCTTCATGGCCTGCGGACCGGCAGCACTGCTGAGTCAGGGGTGAACAGGCGCAGGACCAGGCCTGCCCATATCCCCGCACTGTGCCCTCCAACCACTGAGCCCCCCGCTCCAAGCTCCTGAGTTCTGGCTCCAGTTTCATAACTCGACCCCCAGTCTCCATCCCTGACTCCACCCCTGTAGCCCCAAACCCTCTCCACCAGTCCCCGTACCCCCAAAGTCCCAAGGCCGCTCACCTTGGGAGCCAAGAACTGAGAAGATTTATTCACCACCCACTTGGGTAAGGAGCCTATGAGAACGGAAAAGGGTAGTTAGGAAAAAAGGGAAGAAGCAGCCTCAGGGACCTAGCCCCTGCCTCCATCCTGGGGTTTTCAGGGAAGCCACCCTCTTCTCCATCGAGGTGGGGGGTGAGACAAGTCCTATAAGACTTTGTCATCCTCATTCCCTCTTTCCCCCTCAGACCTAGGCCCTCAGGCTCAACTGTGTCCCTGCTCCACTTCTGCTGAGGCCAGGGGGCTGCAGGGAAGAAAACCACATGGTCCTCGGTGACCACAGGCTACACATGGGTTGAAATCCCGACTCATCCACCTCCTGCCTGCTGCCCTCCCCCTGCTCGCACTAACATCCCTTCTCATACCCAGCCCCTCTCACACCCAACCCCTCTGTGGTGAAGGGACCTGATGCTTAGCCCCTCCTCTTCCTGTCTTTCCTTGTCCCCTGCCCCAGGAAGCCTACCTGCTACATGGGCCTCATGGCTGAGCACCCCAGCCTGGCCTGACTCGGAATCCACAGCCCGGCTCTCCACTCTGTCTCATTCCCAAGTGTCTGCCCTGCCTCTGACACCCAACACACTCACTCAGTGTGATGCTGGGGAGCCCAGGGCTTTGGCGGGGCTCAGGGCTTACCCCTTCTCCAGGCCTTCACCCATTCACTCACTCCACATTCACTCAGTGATACCCACCCTGGACCAGCCCTGGGGACCCAGAAAGGAACTGGTTATATGGGAGGCCTAACAGTGTGCCAGTGTGCCAAGTGCGCTGCTTTGGGGGGGCGGGGCACAGAACAGGGAGCCAGTGACTCCTCTGGGTATCAGGGATGCGGGGGCGGGGTGACGTCTGAAGCAGCCCTGAAGGAATGAGTAAGGGAAAACAGGCGTTTCTAGGCTGAGGGATAGGAATGCTTCCCATGGGGAGGTGGGAATGTGTAAAAGTGTGTGAGAAGGAACCAGGAAACCTGGGCAGGGGGCTTAGACTCTTGACTCTGAGGGTGCTGGAACGTCACAGAAGAATTTTAAGCAGAAGAGAATCATGAGGAAATAAGTATTTTGGAAAAATTTATCTGGTGGCTGTATAGACAGACCAGGTAGATAAGTATGGAGAGAAATGCCAGATTCGGGAGCTATTTAGGAGGTAGAATCAAGAATTGGTGACTGAGTTTGAGAGTTGAGAAGAGGGAGCCTCACACGACCCCAGGTTCCTGGCATAGGTGACCAGGAGGGAGACTTAGGAGAAGGGGTAAGTTAGGAGGGGAGATGGTGAGTTTAGCATTGGACACAGTGAGTCTCAGGTCCTAGAAGACATCCTGAGGGACATGTATGTCTAGGAGGTTGGTGGCCCAGGGTTCTGGATCTCAGCAGAGAAAGCCATGTGGTCAGCTGACAACAGAACCCTTGGGAGCAGCTGAGCCTTCCCAAGGAAGAGAGAACTGAGGCCTGGAAAATCCAGGCCTCCAGGATGGACAGAGGGTGGGAACCATGAAGACAGCAGCCAATGAGCAGGGAGCAACTCGGAGTACAGGGGTGCGGGCACCCAGGACGACAGCCCAAAGCTTCATCGTGAGACAGTGGCTACTACGTTACCCTTGCTTTTCAAACCATAGTAAAGCTTCAAACCTTGGTTCAAATGACGTTTTGGATGTATGCCCCAAAATACAAAACAGCTCCTAAGAGAGGCCCGTCTGCATCCCGAGTAGATCAAGTCCCATGCCCTGGGTATGGGGGAGGATCCCATGGTAGGCTGCCAGGGCCAAGCCCTCACCTTTGGGGTCCACCTGGGCCAGGTAGGTGATGACGCAGCTCTTGGGCCCTGTGCTCTGGATGAGGTAGCCCGTCTGGATGGACACAGCTCGGACCAAGTCTTTTCGAGGTGGGTACTTCTGGGGATGGAAGGCATAGGGAAGTAAGACTCAGAGTGGGGGCAAAGGAGGTGTCTTTGTGAACACACACACACACGAGTTGGTTCATATCCCCTGGCGTCCACTCCAGGCCCGGTCTATCGCGGGGATGAGGAGAAAGGGAGGAGTCAGACTAGGCCATTCTTACCCCTCTTAAAGCTTTCCCTGTTTAAGATATTTGGGAAGATCCCAGGCTGGGGTCAGGGTTTATGAGCACACATATGCTTGTGCACATGTACACATGTACATGCACACACACACACACTCTCTCTTCTGTCCCAGGCCAGCTGTACCTGCCGTCCTGCCTCACGGAGATAAGGCAGGCCAGCCTCATGGAAGCCCAGGGAACCCTGCCCTCCCCACCTCTTGCTCCCCCCTTTCCCAGCCACATCACACCAGAATCCAACCAACAAAATTCAGCCCAACCCACCCACTCGCACACAGTGATGGCCCTCTCCTCATCTGCTTGAGAGCCCCAGCAGGGAGACAGGAACCATTATTCTCACTATATAGGAAGGAAACAAGCCCTGGCTGGGTAGCTCAGCTGGTTAGAGCATTGTCCTGATAGGCCAAGGCTGTGGGTTTGATCCCGGTCAGGGCACATATAAGAATCAACCGATAAATGTATAAGTTAAGTGGAACAACAAATCAATGTTTCTCTCTTTCCTTCTCTCTCCCTTCATCTCTCTCCAGAAGTCAAATGAAATTAAAAAAAAAAAAAAAAGATAAAAAAAAAAAGGACACTGAGGGCCAGTAGATTTCATGCCTGGCCTGAAGTGACAGGGGAGTCATGGTAGCAACCAGGGTCTTCTCCCTGGGCGAGGCCTGCCGGGCCAGCCCTACCTGGCACCTTCCCCTGCCCGCCCAGCGGGGAAGGCGCACCAACTCACTGGATGTTTGACTGAGTAGTTCATAATGATGTAATCAGTGCCCATGGGGAGCCAGGAGCGGAGGGTGATGACATCACGGTTCTTCAGGGGCTTTGGACACCTCCCTGTGGAGGGCAAGGGACAGTTCAGCCAGACCACTGGCCTTCCTGCCTGCAAGGGAGGGCATGGCAGAGGCCAGAGACACAGGGATGCCTAGTTAACTGCAAGCTCCCCTTGAACCAAACAGGTACCCCCCATACCAGACCACAGTCTCAGAACTGGAACTAGGAAAGAGAGCACAATCCTCTCCCCTCCTGTCTCCAGCCATCCCTGTTCCTCACAACCTCACACAGTCCTTACCTTGCTGGCCTGGCTTGTTTGTATGTGTGAGTGTATCAGACAACAACAGTGTTATTGTGATGTGTGTACATGAAAACGTATGGCTGTGAACATGTGGCAGATGGCTGCAGGTTGTATATGTGTGTACAAATGTATTTGTGTGGAATGTGTACACATGAACATGGAAATGCATATGTCTTTGGGAGTGTACCTGTGTGTGTGCTGCATGTACCCACTGTCTGGGAGTGGACAGAGATGTCAAGAAGGGCAGCCCTACATCTCAGCACTCAGGTCTCTGAGCAGCCTGGCCTTGGGAGAGATCACGAGGAGGGGAGATGGGGGTAGGAGGCTCGGCTGGAGGCCTGGCGGAGGCCTGCATGAGGCTGGGGTGGTGTGCTTGGGCCTGCTCACAAGAATAATAGCCCACGTCAGCATTGACTGTCAAGCGAGCGATGTCGAAAGTCTCAATGACGTTGCTGTCCCACTTCTTTCGGTATTCAATGTCATGTAGGACATCATAAAGTGTCTCGGCTGGCACATCGCGGCACTCCATCCGGCACTGCAAGAGAGACACATGTATTGTCAGGGCCACACAAGGCTCAAAGCTCTGGTGCCAGGGAACCAGAAGGCAGACAGGCAAAGGGGAGAGGAAAAGAACAGGAAGGAACAGTGACATCTGAAGCCAACATGGGCTCACCACTTGCCATGGGTCCTGTCCAGCCCTCCTAGAAGCCACCTGTGCCCGGAGACAGCAGCTCCTGTATCCAGAGATTATCCACCCCCCCATCTTAGCCCTACCAAACTTCCCCATTTGTCCCAGTTTCCTCCTCCAAGATGCCTTCCTAAATTACCCAGGCAGACTTTCTGGACTCCCTTACACTAAGTTTCTATATCTTTGCCCTCTTGAACCCTTGAACTTAATGGTTAGAGGCTCACAGTTTATTCAGCACAGAGGCTGGTATGGATACATGTTAAATGAAATGAAAGCACGAATGAACAGACCAATACCTAAATGGATGATTTCTCTCCTCCATGGCGCTTATCACCTGGCCATACTATTTGTCCTCCCTTTTTTTTTTTAATTCAATAAACATCTTTGGGTTTCTTATTACTTATTAAACTTGTTTTCAAAGAGCTTTCCATCTAGGGGAGAAAAGGGCCAAGGATACCTTTTTAAAAATTTAACCCTCAGTTGTCTTGTCAACTCTGCCAGACAAGAAATCCAAGGAGGAAACTGAGGCTCAGAGAGTTTAGATAAAGTAATTTTGCCAAAGATCACCTAGCTGGTAGATCGCAGAGATATGGGATTTAATCCAGATCACGTGCCTGGAAAGCGAAAGAAAACAGAACCATCGGAGGGTCTCCATCCAGCACTGCAGATAGACACATGGATTGTCGGGGTCACACAGGACTCAAAGTCCTGGTGTCCAGGGGACCAGATTTGGGTTCAGCAAGATAAAACGCAGTCCACAGCCTTGTTCTGCAATTTCTTCGCCCAAGCGGCCAACCCCCAGAATCAAGTTCCCCTCAGCAAGGGAACAAGTTTTCTTGCTGTATAAAAAGGTTTCCCAGAACTGCATGTTCACATGGCGCCAAGGGAAGCGCACACATTGTTTTCTACTAAAAAGGGCATACACGTAACCATACGAGGCAGGAGTCACACTGCGCTGCCCCTAACCTTGGGTATTCTAGGCTCAGGTATTCAAGTGAACTCTCCAAGCCCTGGGTATTCCTCATTTTACAGAAAACAGAGAGGACAGGAACAAACTAAGTGTTACCATGAGAACACAAGCAGACAAAGCCAGATGCTGAGATACTCTGCAGGGTTTCTGGTCCAGTCTTTTCTACAGTTTATCATAAGGAACTAGGCTCGACTAAGAGACTTAGAGGACACACTGCCAGCTATAAAGTGTGGTCCTGGGTTGCATACTGGCTTGAACATAACAGCTATAAATTACAGGACAGATTTGGGACACCTGGAGGAATATGAGCAGGACCTAAGTATTAGATGTGCCAAAAATTTGCTGAATCAAAACGGTGGAGATTGCTGCTTGAATAAAAACACAGATTACAAAATGGAATGCATGGTATAATCTCATTTGGGGTGGGGGGTAATATATGCACAGGAAAAGCTCAGGAAGCACGATTGCTAAGGTGTTAATAGCAGTGATCTCTAAATTATGAGAATATGGGGGGGTGTTTGTTTTTGTTTTTGCTGTTTGTTATTTCTAATTGTCTAAAACGTATAGTACTGCTTCTGGAATAATAAAAAAAATTTAAATAAAAAGTTCCCCCAGTGGGCTCTCTCTGGAGCATGCCCACATCTTTCTTCTCTCTCAGGCCTTTATTGTTACTTTTCTCTCCTAAACTCTAAGGATACCCATGATACTTGCAACCAGGGGAGCAGCAGGCAGCAGCGGCTCATCCCGGGCTTACCCCCTGATCCTGCCTCCAAGGTGCCCTTTCTCAGACTCTTTGCGAGCTAACAGCAGTCCCACCTTGGCTCACTTCTTTCCTATAACATTTCTAGGGAGTCAAAGTATAGCACCGCCTAGGCTCTCTCCTGTTGCTTCTTCTACCCTAAGCCCTTCCTTTATTTCACTGTCCCCAGCTTTAACAAACGGAAAGAAAGAAAAGAAAAGAAAGAAAAGAAAGAAAGAAAGAAAGAAAGAAAGAAAGAAAGAAAGAAAGAAAGAAAGAAAGAAAGGAAGGAAGGAAGGAAGGAAGGAAGGAAGGAAGAAAGAAAGAAAGAAAGAAAGAAAGAAAGAAAGAAAGAAAGAAAGAAAGAAAGAAAGAAAGAAAGAAAGAAAAAGAAAGGAAAGAAGGAAGGAAGGAAGAAAGAAAAAGAAAGATGCCTCAGAGAACTGAGAGGTGTACTCACCACACGCCAGGTACTATCCTAAGTGCTTTATATACATTATAGCATTTTATTCTTACAGCAACACTCTGAGGTATTTGACCCATTTTAGAATTAAGAAAACCAAAGTTCAAGGACAGACTTCAGCCTACAGAGACTGAACAAGTTACTCTCTATCTCTGTTTGCTTTTCTGCTCGATGAAGATCCAATCATTTACCACCACCCAATTCCAGCCCTGTGTGGAGCTTGAAAAAGCCAGAGATGAATCTGGGCCTGTCCTCGAAAGGCTTCCAGTTAAAAGAGAAGACCTACTTGAAAATGATGAGGTTCCCTAAACTGCCCAGGGGATACAGAGGAGGTCAGCTCTGTGAAGTGGGTGAGGAGTCAGGCTTCATCGAGAAGCTTAGTCTGGAAGGTCAGTGTCTGCCAAGTGGCCTTTGCAGAAAGAACAGCCAGGAACAGGCCCAGGGGCAGATGAGAGGGTGGCCTGTAGGAAACTCAGTGCATTCCATTTGCTCCAGCTCCCATGGTGAGTTATAGCCTGATACTCAAAAGGCCCTGGTTCCAGGTCACCTTGGAGGAATACTGATTCTGGGGCTGGGTCAGAGTAAGTATAAGATGACGCCGGAGCATCTTATCGTGCAAAAAAGAGACCTACCCACCGAATGCAAGGGATCTTGCACAGAGGACACAAGAGCCAGCATGATGAGCTTCCACTGGTTTAGCTGACCAACTCATCAGTGTTTGCCTGACGCTTTCCCAGTTTTAGCATTGAAAGTCCACATCCTGGGAAACCCCTCAAACCTGGGCAAACAAGGACAGCTGGCCACCTACCACAGCCCAAAGGTGGGACAACCCGTGTATTAAAATAAATAATGAATAATGATAGAAACAAATTGTATTCCGCTGAACAAAACAGGAAACCAAAGTATAAACGGGTATGAATAAATAAATAAATTAAATGTTTAAAAAGGGTATTTACATAGTTTCAAGGTACCCTCCCATCAAATACTTATTACAAAGGCAACATGAGTAACTCCATAATAGAGCAGCCTGGCAGATCCCACCTTAGTCAAGTGATCAAAATGAACGTCCTCAGTAATGAGCATCATTACTAATGATTAGTAAGTGAACATCATTAGTACAACTGGGTGCTGACTGATAGGACGCAACGAAAAGAATACAGGCCCCGCTTATGGGGTACTTCTGCCAAGGATTCATAACCTGAAGCTAATCATAAGGAAAACCAGACAAACCCAAAATGAGGAACTTTCACAAAATAACTGGCCTTTAAGCGTCAGGGTAATGAAAGTCAAGGAAAGACTCAAGAACTGTATCAGACTCACTAACAAAACCAGTGAGACTAATGAAACATCAGTGAATGAATGCGTGCGTGCGTGAACAACGTGCTGGCAGGGATGTGACGGTGAGAAGGGCGTGGGAGGAGATGGCAGACGCCAGACCTGGCATCATCGGGAGCATCCAGACAACCTTCTATTCAGCAGCCATGTGGTGGTCCGGGTGCCGCACCAGACATTCAACACACACTCACTCTTCGCTCCACATTTATGAGCTGGTGTTATGCCTGTGCTGCAAAATAAAAAAAACTGAGGCACAGGAGAGTAAGCAACCTGCCCAAATCAGGCAGCCTGAAAGCAGCCTAGCAGGGATTCAAAACAAAACCAGATCTTCCTGTACTCCTAACCACCAAGGAGCACTCAGGTGTGAGTTCTGAAGAAACCAGAACTACACTAAATCAAAGTGGGGAAGCTGGCACAGCTTTGCAAGGCCTCAGATGTGTTATACTGGACAGGAAGTGTACGGAGGGGCCGTGACAACAGGATGGTGTGGGAGGGGGCGGCGGGGGGGAGTGCCTCCTCCCTCAGGCCAGCCTCAGTGCTCCAGGGCCCAGCTGCACCCACCGCTGAGTGCACACTAAGAAGGGGCCCACATTGCCCCGATTTTGCCCATTCTCAGTCAGGCCTCCGGGATCTGAGTGATTGTGGCTTCAGGACCAAAGGCCTCCCTCTGAGAGAGCAGGCAGTGGGCGGAGCAAGCACAGCCCCAAGGCAGACTGGGCACCTATCGAGTGTAAACTCTGCATAACATTTTATCTTCAAGATACAGATGGAAACTTCAAAGGTTCCCCAGCTTGTGGCAGACTCTCAGGGAGGAAGGCCCTGATGGGAGAAGGGCACTGGGAAGGCATGAGCTCTGGCTGGGGCTGCCCTCCAGGTGAGGAAACTGAGGTCTGGGTGGTGGTCTAGAGAGCAGAGAGCGTCCATGGGCCCCCATGGCCCACAGCAACTGGTCTGGCTCCTAACCCAGCTCTTTCCACAGCCCCCTGGCGGGTAAATTACATCTAGCATTGTTCTTGCCTGCAGGGCCGGCTGCCACATCAGCAAAGATGAGGTGTAATTCTAAGAGGCTTTGGGATGCACGTGTGGGGGTAGGGTGAGTTATTGGAGAGCACCTGGTGGGTGGGCCTGTGACTGGAACTCACATCCATTGGGCCGTGGGCAAGTCAGTCTCTTCAGGTGAATACCTGCGAGCTCCCCCTGGAATCCGGAATTAAAGGGGAGGAGCTACACGGGGCTGCAAAGCTCTTCAAGCCTGGTTCCAGGAGGGAGACTGACAAGCAGCCATTTCACAGCTGAGAAAACTAAGGCCTGGGGTAAACACAGAGTGTGACCCCTGAACT